TTTTCTTTTTCGAATTGTGTAAGTAATGTTTATTTAACCAAGAAAATGTGACGGGGACATGAATTGATATTCGATTTAAAAGAAAAAAGCTTTATATATATAATTTATAAAAGACACTTCTTTTAATAACAGTATTATATATATTATAAAATTATATATATATATATATTTATATTAATTATAATATAATTAATCTCTTATTTAGCATTTTTGGAGATCAAAAGCCTCATTCCCCATTGCAAAATATCTTGTTTGTTTTTCATAGAAGTCATACAGAATCTGAACGACATGAGGTTGAGTAAATGATAACAGACTTTTCATTTATTCCTCATCTTTTTCTTTAATGTATTCCAGCAGGATTTCTGGGTCAAAAAATTCCCTTTCGAGGATGCTTTGCATTGCCGTTGCTCATGCCAAGAGATCCTGCCAGAAAGTGTAGCGTAGCGTCTAGTGTTCTCTGGCCTCGTGAGGATGCAGAGGTCAGTGATAACCAGAGGGCAATGGGGAAGTAGCTGATGAATGCAGCTCAATTTAAAACACATTTCAGCAGATGCAGAGATCACATTGTCTGATTTTTGGGGCTGTCTACTGCATCTAATTGATACGAGCCTGTGGGCTGCTTATGCAAATGGTAAAGGAGAATGTTAACCCTTCACCTCAAGAGCTTCATGCAGACAATAACTCCAGAGTTGAATTGCAAAAGGTTTTTTTCGTTTCGTAGAGCAGACTGTTTTCATAACCCTCGGGCTCTTTTCTTTCAACCCAAAAACACACCTCAAACAGCTTCTCCATTTCTGTGTGTCTTCTAGTTCCCTTCTAGCACTCGTATCCACCTTATTTTTTAAATTAAGAGCAGGAGTAACTGGAATAAGCGAGGCTTCCAGTGTCATTCATTTCTTGGTTTTTAAACTGCTTGGTTGCTTGTATTGTCACAAAATGTAAACCATATTATCTCCCAGCTCTAATCTGCTAAATGCGACTATAAGGCAAGATATTAAGATATTATAAACATTGACATCATGATTTTCTGTAAGGCTGCTTTGAAGCAATGTGAAGCAATGTGCGCTACACAAATAAATTTCACTTGCATATGGTTCAGTTTTTAAAGCTCAGGTGCTGGTTGCATAAACTGCTCAGACTAGTCTGTTTTTTTTTCTGCAGGACTGGTCATAACTTCATCATAACATAATAAGTCAGTTAAATAAAAAGGTAGATTGGTCTAATTCAAATCTGAAAAGTAAGACTTAAAAACTGCTAGTTGGTCAAACTAGTTCTTAAGGAACAGTCTTAGCATAGAGGCTGTTTATGCAGCTGGCCCCAGGACTGGTAACCAAATTATAACTAGTTCAGTTCCCGCAAGGAGTGAATCATGAGTTCTCAACATTGTGCACTTGAGCAAGACACTTGTTTGAAGTGACTGAAACATTTTTTTGTAACCTATTTTATGCATTTAAAAGTGAAAAAAAATATTCAACAAGAAGAAGTGTAGATTTGATGCATCATAAATGGATTGCATGTTGAAAAGTCTCTGTATATGACAGGTGGTTGGAGGGTTTGAAATATAAGATGTATCTATGATGTTAGCTGAAAAAGAAAGGTGAAAAACATTGGCTCAATTTACTTTATACTATATTTACTTTATAATTTACTTTAGAATAGTTTTCAAAAATGAAAAATTGCGGAAAATATACTCACCCTCGGGTCATCCAAGATTAGGATGAGTTTGTTTCTTCATCAGATTTGGAGAAATGTAGCATTGCATCAGTGTCTCGGCAATGGATGCTCTGCAGTGAATGGGTGCCGTCAGAATGAGAGTCCAAACAGCTGATAAAAACATCACAATAATCCACAAGTAATCCACACCACTCCAGTCCATCAGTTAATGTCTTTTGAAGCCAAAAACTGTGTGTTTGTAAGAAACAAACCCATCAAGACGTTTTTAATTCAAATATGAGTCCATAATCCAAAATAACACTTCCTCCAGTGAAAATGTCTGAATCAGGAGAGAAATCTGCACAGATCAAGTACCGTTTACAAGCCAAAACAGCTCTGAACAAATATGTGTGTGGATTTTGATGTGAGAGACAATAGGAGATGCACTTTTTCACTGGAGGAAGCGTTATTATGGATTATGGACTCATATTTTACCCGGAAATGATGGTTTGAAGTTAAAACGTCTTAATGATGGATTTGTTTCTTACGAACACGCAAACTGATAAACTGGAGTGATGGGGATTATTGTGATGTTTTTATCAGCGATTCACATGTGCACATTAAAATATATATATATATATATATATATATATATATATATATATATATATATATATATATAAAAGCATCTTCTAAATGTCTGTTGACGTAATTTCTGCGCTCGTGTCTCTCAGGGGATGTTCAGAGCTCTACCGCATCCCTATGGTGGAGTATAAGCTGGACAGTGAAGGAACGCCCTGCGAGTACAAGACGCCCTTCAAGAGAAACACCACCTGGCACCGTGTGCCCACCAGCGGCCAGCCTCTTCCCGATCGCATGCCGTGCCAGCAGGTCCTCCAGCACGGTCAGACCGCCATCCCACGCAGCACCTCTTTCGACAGGAAGCTGCCGGATGGACCCAGGTATCGCATCCGTTTCAGATGCATGCTTTTGCGTTTTTCTCAATGTCAGTTGGATGAGTGTAACTGTGAATCCATCGCCTTCCTGAATCAACCAGATCTCAGGGTGTTAGAATGCACAAAAAATACAGCAGGATGAAGACATGATGAAACTTTTTATTGTGTCTTTTCTGACATTTTATGTGTGGAGCTCTATGATTTCCATGATGCAGATGGAATTGCAAAATCCAGTCATATAAAAATGGAATTTACAGTAATGCAGAATGTCACCGAATTTGACAAATTTTGGATGAATAAATCAGAAGTAGTGCTGTATACTTAATCAAATCATGATATAGACTAGTGCAAAAAAGACTGATATTCATACAGTTGTGCTCAAAATTATTCATACCCTTGGTAAATATGATCAAAAAAGGCTGTGAAAATAAATCCGCATTGTTTATCCACTTGATCTTTTGTTCAAAAATATAAAAAAATCTAAACTTTAATTAAAGTTAAAAAAAAAGTGAAAGTGGGGGAAAATCACATTATGAAATAAATATTTTTCTCTAATACAGTAAGAGGACGTGTGTCTATATTGTCCTAATGCAAGGTGAGGAGGATGAGTTTGAGTGGATCACAGCTGGAGAACTGCAGAAAATAGCTGAGTCTTGGGGTCAGAAAGCCTCAAAACAATGTTGTTTGGGAGAGTTTCAAGAAAAAATTAGAAAAGAAAACACTCTCATCCAAAAACAAACTCCAGCATATTTATTTGCTAGACATGACTGGAACTTTAAACGGAACTGGGTTCAATGGTCAGATGAAACAAAAAAAATTCAAATGAAAACACTCAAAATGGGTTTGGTGCACACAGGGATAAAAAAGTACCTCATGTGTACAATGATATATACTGCTGGATCTTTAATGTTGTGGGCCTATTTTTCTGCCGGAGATCCTGGATATCTTGTTCAGATAGATGGCATAATGGATTCTATAAAATACCAGTGGATAAAAAATTAAAAACTGACTGTCCATACTAGAAATCTTATAATGGGCCATGGTTGGATCTTCCAACAGGACAATGATCCACAAACAAACATCAAA